AGTCGCCGCCGCCGTCGCCGTCTCTAGTTTAGGTGTTGCACCGTTGTGTAGCCTAGCCTCCCCTGCTGCGTCAGGCGTAGGACTGCCTAGTTTGTCTAGCCTCGTCTCTGCACCCGCTCCGTTCCCCGCCCCTGCCACTGCTGCGCTGTCCTTCACTCTCGACTCCGGTGCTTCTGCCTGCTTCTTCCGCGACCGTTCCGCACTTACGCCGCTTGCTACGCCAGCTGTCGTCTCTCTCCCCGACCCCTCTGCAGGTCCTGTCGTCGCTCGCAGTTCTACGTCCCTTCCCTGTCCAGCCGTTCCCTCGGGCTCCCTTACAGGCCTCCACGTTCCCTCATTCTCGAGGAACCTGGTTGGTGTCGGCTGTCTCCAGGACCTCGGCGTCACCACCACGTTCCCCGGGCACGAGCGGTTCGCTGTCTGTTCTGAGGCTGTCTCAGGTTCCCCCCTTGCGACGTTCCCCAAGGACCCGGTGTCCGGTCTGTTTACCCTAGACACCGCCTCCCCTCCGGTTGGTGCGTCCTCCCAGGTTGCTGCAGCTTGCTCGTCTCGTTCCCTCACTCACCCGTCCCTTCTCTGGCACCACCGCTTAGGTCACCCTGCTCTTCCTCGTCTGCGTCACATGTCCCAGCACAGCCTTGTCTTAGGTCTCCCTGTGTCGCTCCCCGCCCTTCCTCCCTCGACTGCGCCACCGTGCACGCCTTGCGTCGAGGGCCGGCTCCGCCGTGCCCCTCACTCCTCCTCGCTGCGCCCTGCTATTGCCCCCCTTCAGACCCTGCACGTGGACGTTTGGGGCCCTGCCCCCATCCCCGGACCGCGCGGTGAGCGCTACTTCCTTGTGCTCGTCGACGACTACACGCGCTACACCACGGTGTTTCCCCTCGAGCGGAAGGCCGACGTGCCCGACGTTCTTCTCCCGTGGGTTGTGGCTGCGCGTCTCCACCGCGGTCTCCCCGTGTTGTGTCTCCACTCCGACCGGGGCGGCGAGTTCGCCTCTGGTCGGCTTGGACAGTTCTGTCGTGCGGAGGGCATCACCCAGTCGTACACCTTGCCGGACTCGCCACAGCAGAATGGGGTTGCTGAGCGCCGCATCGGCTTGGTCATGGAGGTCGCCCGCACCTCCATGATTCATGCCGATGCCCCCCATTTTCTGTGGCCGTTCGCTGTTCGCTACGCTGCTCACCAGCTTAACTTGTGGCCACGCTCTCAGCGGCCGCAGGTTTCGTCGACCCTTCTTTGGACCGGGTCCCCCGGTGACGCGTCTGCCTTCCACGTCTGGGGCTGCCTTGCTCACGTTCGTGCCTCTAGCACGGACAAGCTCACTGCCCGCACTGTCCCCTGTGTCTTCCTCGGTTTCCCCCTGGACTCGTCTGACTGGCTTTTCTATCACCCGCCGTCTCACCGCTTCCTCCACTCTCGTGACGTTACCTTTGACGAGTCCGTCTCCTTTTACCGCCGCTTCCCTCACCGAGGTCTCCCAGTTGCCCCCCCCCTGTTCCTTGCTCCCTCTCCCCCGGTAGCCCCTGCCCCTCTCCCGCCTCGTCCTGCCCCGTCTGGTGTCTCTCACGTCACTCCCCTCCCGTCGGTTGTCCCCGTTGAGGAGTCTGCTGACTCTGGTGGTACCCCCGGTCTGTCCTTCCCGCGTCCCCCTTCCCCGGTTCCTCCGCCTCAACTGTCGCAGTCGCCGACCCCGTTGCAGCCGCCGTCGCCGTCGCCGCCGCAGCCGTCGCCGCCACTGCCGCCGCCGCTTTTGGCCCCTGGGGGTGCTGGTGTGGAGGAGGGTGTTCGTCCTGTGGCTTCTGGGGGTGCTGCTGGTGTTGGAGGGGGTTCTCGCTCTGGGGGTGTTGGTTCTGGGGGTGCTGCTGTTGAGTGTTCTGCCGACGGTCGTTCTCCCTCTGCTGGTCCGAGAGTTCCGGCCCAGCCGTTGTCGCCGCCGCAGCAGCCGTCGCCGCCGGTCTCCGCTCTCCGCCTGCTCGGTCTCCCCCACCGCCCGCTGACCTTCCTGTCTACGGTCCTGTTTTCCCGCCGCCGGACTCGTCTCCGGCCCGTCTTCCTCCTCGTTCCCCTCCTGTGTCTCCTCCGCTGTCCCCTGACCCTACCCCTCCGTCTCACGTTTGGGCTCGTCGTCCCTCCCGTGCTCGTCCCGTCTCTCCTGTGCTGCCCACTCACCCTATGTTGCTCCGTTCCCGCTCATCTCGTCCTCCTCTCCTCCCGTCCCCTCCTCCCTCATCCCTTGCTGTTGCACCTCCTCCGTTCTCTGACTACCTCCGTGCTGCTCGTCCCCTTGTCCCTCGGGTCCTTGCCTCTCTTGTTACCGACCCTGCTGTTCCTGTCTCGCGCCTTGACGTGCTTGTCGCTGCTGTCGCTGACTTCGCCTCTACCCGCCGCCTTGACTACGCTACCGCTCTGGTCTCTGACCCTGCCCGTCCTCCGTCCGTCGGGGGTGCTCCTGCCCTTGGCAGTGACGTTCTAGAGGACAGGCAGTACGAGCTGGCTTTCCTGTCCGAGGCTGCTCCCCATCTCTGCTCCATGCTTTTAGTCCCTGAGGGTGACCCAGATGCCTTCGACATCCCGACCCCTCGCACCTGCGCTGAGGCCACCTGGGGACCTTGGGCCTCTCAGTGGATAGCTGCCATGGAGCAGGAGATGGCATCTTGGAGGTCCACCGGCACTTACGTCGACGCAGTTCCCCCGCCTGGGGTGAACGTAGTCGATGGTCGGTGGCTCTTCAAAGTGAAGCGCCCCCCTGGAGAGCCGCCTGTCTTCAAGGCGCGCTACGTGGCCAGAGGTTTCAGTCAGCGCAAGGGGGTTGACTTCTTCCAGACCTTCACCCCGACCCCAAAGATGACCACTCTTCGGGCACTGCTACACGTAGCAGCTCAGCGTGACTACGAGCTTCACTCCCTCGACTTCTCCACTGCCTTTCTTCAGGGCAGCCTACACGAGCAGGTCTACCTGCGCCGACCACAGGGTTTCACTGGTACCTTCCCTCCTGGGACCCAAAGGCTTCTCAGGCGCCCGGTCTACGGCCTGCGTCAGGCTCCTCGCGAGTGGCACGACACGCTACGTGCCACGTTAGCAGACCTGCAGTTCTTTCCGTCCTCTGCTGACCCTTCACAGTTTGTGCGTTCCGGCCAGACTCCGTTCTACATCCTTGTCTACGTAGATGACCTGGTCTTCGCTACTCCTGACAGGGACGCACTGGCCTCTGTGAAGACTGAGCTGCTGAAGAGACACACCTGCACTGATCTTGGAGAGCTGCGTCGCTATCTTGGCCTGCAGATCTCCAGGGACAGAGCAGCACGCACCATCACTCTGACACAGTCACGCTTGGTGCGTCAGGTCCTTCAGAGGTTCGGTCTTCAGTTCTCCTCTGCACAGCCCACACCTCTACCTGTAGACCACGGGCTTTCCGCTCCTGTTCCTGAGGAGTCAGTAGAGCCCAGCGGCCCCTACGCAGAGCTGGTGGGTTGCCTCATGTACCTGATGACCTGCACTCGCCCAGATCTCGCATACCCTCTCAGCATCCTGGCTCGCTTTGTGGCCACTGGCAGACACCGACCACAGCACTGGTCGGCAGCCAAGAGGGTTTTGCGATATCTAGCAAGTACATCAGGCATGGGGTTAGTGTTGGGAGGACGCAGGCCAGTGGTCCTCACTGGGCACACAGACGCTTCTTGGGCAGACGACTCTGGGACGCTCAGGTCGTCGCAGGGCTACTGTTTTAGCCTTGGTTCGGGTGCTATCTCTTGGAGATCCACTCGCTCGTCGTCTGTTGCTCAATCGAGCTGTGAGGCTGAGATCTACGCTGGTGCCATGGCGGCATAGGAGCTCCGCTGGCTGACTTTCTTGCTCACAGACTTAGGTGAGCAGCCTAGCTCTGCCCCGGTCCTGTATGCTGACAACAGGGCCATGATCCTCCTGTGTCAGGAGCCTCGACTTGAGGGCAGAGCGAAGCACATTCAGCTGCGGTACTTCCTCCTGCGCGAGCTACAGCAGCGTCGCCAGGCCCGCGTAGTTCACTTGGCCTCTGGTGCCAACACAGCTGATATCTTTACGAAGGCGCTTGCGCCTAAAGATCATCGGCGGCACTGTGTACAGCTCGGTCTAGTTCCTGTAGCCTCTCACTTGCTAGAACCTTGACTTTGTACTGTCCTATATACATCTATCTCTATGTACTCAGACTGGACTTGTGTCCTTTCCCAGTGGCCGGACTAGTAGTGCCGCCCTGGTCTTGTTCTTGTCTTGCCTGTACTCCTTTTGACTGGTCTTTAGACCCTTGTCTCAGTGGTTGGACTAGTAGTGCCGCCCTGAGTTGCTTGTTCAGGATTTGCCCCTATGCAGTCTAGGGGGTGTGTCAAATATATGTATAACTCATATTTGTATAAACTATATAGGGTTACCTCTTAGAGGGTACAACACTCTTAGGTATATACACTTGTTCTCTCCCTCTATGCAATCATTCAGTTTTTCCTTTGAGACAACCAACTAGTATTTGTTCTAGGTTTCCACTTCTAGTTAATCATTCACTTCTTACTTTAACATACCCATCTCGTCAAGGCATGGAAGAATTGCACACTTGGCGTGACTGATTGGAATGGCCTCATGGCGAGAATATGCCTTTCGTGAGACTTCGCTTATTGCGCTCATGGCATCTGCATCGTGGTCACGACCCTCCAACCAAACAGTGAGCACCAATAATGCCATCAAAGTTGCTTGAAGCGGAACACATATGCCTTATGCTTTATTCAATCTAAAAATTATATCGGATACAGAAATATGTATGTATGTGAGATATGCACGTATGGAAATTAGGATGAGCTAGTGATGAATGCAGGGAGAAGAAAAATAAAATGTTTGTGAAAATCAGTAAAGGGAATCCTAATCTAAGAGTCTTACTGATTATGAGAGTGCTCTTCTTTTTGTAACTCATATGGTCCTCACGCCCCACATTTACATTTCTTCTCATCCTAACAAATCAACCCAACCATTCTAAGGCTCACAAAACTCTCTCCATGGTGGCTTCTCCTTTCAGCCGCCAACTGCACCAGCTCCGCCGTCAAGCACCAATATCCGGCATGAGGTTACCCTGACATTGCCGCGTGGTAGCTCTAACGTGACGATGTGATTGCATACGGAGTGTGCTTGTGTCGCAATGCCATCGCGCCGGGACCAAGCCACGCCATGGCAGCGCCTCCGCTCGCGCGTGTTCCGCGTGCAAGAGGTCCACACCCTCTTCGCCGGCTCTGGCGCTCGAGATGACACGTGGCACTCGCCCCGATCCCCGCATCCCAGGTCGACGCGTAAAGGCAGGGATAGGAGGTCTGGGGAAGCGGAGAGCGCGGAAGCGGCGGAATGGGGTGGCGGGAGTGGCGGGGAAGCGGCGGAATGGAGTGGCGGGAGTGGCGGGGAGGCGACACTGAAGCGGTCGCTGGGATGGGCGGACACGATCTCGCTGGGCGTCGCCAGCATCATCGGCGCGGGTCCGTGACCGTTCCCCACCTCCTCCCCGTCCTCTACCTCTCTCCCTCCTCTTCCCCCCCTCCCTCCTCTTCCCCTCTCCCCCCTCTCCCCCCTCTCCCCCCTCTCCCCCCTCTCCCCCTCTCCCCCCTCTCCCCCCTCTCCCCCTCTCCCCCCTCTCCCTCCTCTCCCTCCTCTCCCCCCTCTCCCCCCTCTCCCCCCTCTCCCTCCTCTCCCTCCTCTCCCCCCTCTCCCCCCTCCCCCCCCTCTCCCTCCTCTCCCCCTTCTCCCTCGCCTGCCTCTTGCTGCCTTTTGCCTCGCAGCTCTTATTCCTCCTGTCCCACCACCCTGCCGCTTCTCCCCCTTCCCCTTACTTCACACACCCCAGCACCCCCTGCCCTCTCACAGCCTCTCATGTCCTCTCACTCCTCTCCATTTAGTCCCACCCAACTTTGTCATCCGTTCCCCCTCCCTCCTGCTATAATCACCTCCTGCCCTCCCCCCCACCCCCCTCTCCTCCCCGCACTACCAATCACAGGCGTGTTTGTGATCACAGGGGTGGCGGCTCGGGACCACGCCGGCCCCGCTGTCATCCTCTCCTACCTCCTCTCTGCCACGTCAGCACTCCTGTCCGCACTCTGCTACACCGAGTTTGCCGTCCACCTGCCCGTGGCGGGTGGCGCCTTCTCCTATCTCATGGTCACGCTGGGCGAGCTCCCAGCCTTTATCACTGTAGCGAATCTCCTTATGGAGTACATTCTCTCCAACGCCGCAGCTGCCCGGGGCCTCTCAGCCTACTTCGCCGGCTTCCTCGGGCAGGACCCGGACTTTTTCCGGCTGCCCATGCCAGCCTGGGGAATCACCCTGGATTTTGTTGCACTGGGGCTAATCATGTCCCTGTCGGCCCTTGTAGCGTACGGAACCCAGGAGTCTTCATACTTCAACTTCCTTGCTTCCGGTCTCAGCATGGTAGCCATTGTCATCATCATCGTTGCTGGATTCACAGCAGGCAGCATCGCCAACGTCACCACCTCCTTTGCTCCCTTCGGCTTCCAAGGCATGCTGGACGCGGCCGCCCTCGTCTACTTCTGCTTCATCGGCTTCGATGCGGTTACCACGCTTGCAGAAGAAGTCGCGAATCCGGCCGTCGATCTTCCAGTGGGAATTGTCGGATCGGTGGCTGTGGTTGCGCTGATCTACGGCTTCATGGCGCTCTCTCTCTGTCTCCTCGTGCCCTACACCCAAATCGACCCCGACGCTCCATTCTCCTCCGCGTTGCGCCACCTGCCGGGGTGGGATTGGGCGGCAGGGGCGGTGGCAGCAGGGGCTCTGCTGGCCATAGTGACGGCGGTGCTTGTGGGGTTGATGGGACAGGCTCGGATCGTGCTGGTGGTGGCTCGGGCTGAGCTGCTGCCGAAGCAGCTTGCTTCGGTGTCGCCTGTGACCCGCACGCCTCTCGTTGCCACGGTTGTTCTCGGTGCGTCCCAGTGACGGATCTCCTACAAGGTGCTCTTTCCCTCGCTCCTCTTTCTGGCACATGCAATTGCATGTCCTCCACGATGTCCCCTATGCTGCTTCCCCCCCCTGCTATACCCCTCCCTGGTCTCACCTGCCGCCCCTCCCCTCCCTCGCAGGAATCGCGACAGGGGTGATCGTGCTGCTGGTAGATCTGGAGACCCTGGCCAGGACGGTGTCCATTGGCACACTGCTCATCTTCCTCAACCCCTCCCTTATTCCCCATGCCTGTCCCCTCCCCTCCCCTTACCAGGCATTGCAACAGGTGTCATTGCACTACTGGTGGACCTGGAGACGCTAGCCAGCATGGTGTCCATCGGCACGCTGCTCATCTTCCTCATGGTCGCCCTCGCCCTCCTGCTGCACCGCTACCACCCCCGCGTTCTCCTCCCTGCGCCCGCCTCCCACCACACCCGCGTTGCACTCCCCGCGCCCCCCTCCTACCACCCCCGTGCTGTGTTGCCTTCCCCGCCTCCTCACACCACCAACCCTGGCTCTGTCGTGGGCGGGGCAGCTGCTGACACAGAAGCAGATGAAGGAGCAGAAGAACCCACAGCAGCAGACGATCAAGCGCCCTTAGTGGCAAACGGGTTTCACTCACAGCCTCATGATTCCAGCCCACAAGAACTGCTCTCCCCTCGTGCACACAAGCCCACAGCTGCAAGGAAGCAGGAAGAAAGTGGAAAGCATGTGGGCGGAAAACCTAAAGAAGGGCAAGGACACGGGCAGGGCAGCGGAGAGTCCATGGGGGTGGTGCTGACTCGCCTGGGTGTGATGGTTGGGGGTGCTGCTGGAGTGGCCGTGGCGTTCCGAGTGCTCCAGGGCAACACTGCAGCCGTGCTGCTCTCCGCTCTGCTCTGGGCTGCTGCCACTGCCTCCCTTGCGGTATGCCCTCTGCCCTGCTCTCATTCCCCTGCTCTGCTCTCATTCCTCTGCTCTGCTCTCATTCCCCTGCTGTGCTTCAGACCCGGAAACAAACTCTCGCTCCTCACTTCCTCCACCTCCTCACCTTGTCATTGTCTCTTCCCTTCCCCCCCTTCCTTCCCCCGTCCCCCATCCCCCCTCCCCCCCTCTCCCAGCGCTGCAGGGAGGCAGAGGCGACTCGAGTGTTCTCAGTGCCCTTTTCCCCGTGGCTGCCTGCCCTCTCCATCCTCGTTAATGTGCTCCTCCTTGCCTCACTAGACGCCTCCGCCTTCATCCGCTTTATAGTCTGGTCCGCTATAGTCACAATCGGGTATGTCCTTATGGTGCTACTAAGCCGTGAGCCCAAGGGGGACCATGGGTCCATGGCACTGTCATCAGCACGCTCACCAGCAAGGGCCAGAGAGATTGCTGAAGCAGTAGACATGCAAGAGGAAGTGGCTGATTCAAATGACATGGGGGATGTAGAATTCACACCTCTGGTTACCCATCCGCAAACATGAGACTCCCTACATGTCATTTGTCTGCATTTATACTTCGCAATGTACAGTGAGTTGCATCTGCTTCTAGCAACGCTATGCAGCATTGTTAAGTAGAAAAAGACGATTTCTTTTGAGTAAAGACCACTCTGCATATCTGTTAGCATGAACCATAAATAGGGACCCCCCAGTCAGACTGCCATCTCCAATGTCATGGGTGTCACACACCTCTCCTAACAGCAGGGCTGGGATGGCCCTAAATCTCTAACTGCTATGTAAGAATCATCTACTCAACTGGTAGCTAGCAAGTGGCAAACCTGCGGGGACAAAGCGTGGCAGGTGATGCCACGGCATGCAGGGAGGGGGGAAGGGGGGGATCACTGGGAGAATGATCCTAGCAGGTGGGTAGAGCTAGCTAGGCGAGGATGTCAGGGAGTCTAATGCTGGCACGGACCGGCATCACATGCTGGCAGCAGTCAGTCACAGGTTCGGTGGCCATGCCTCTATGGGCCGTGGTCACCCCAGGTTGGCCAGGTCAGCGTGCCGCCCTGCTGCTCACAGGTTGATGACTGGAGCAAGAGGCGAGCGCACATGGCTCACAGCAGCACTGCCACCAGCAGCAGTGGCAGCACTAGCATGGGTCTTCACCGCAGTGGCCGGGCCATTGGTGACTGGCACCCAGCGCTTCTGGTCGTAGCGCCGCGCCGAGTGCGACACGTGCGTGCCGCTGGTGGTGGCAGAATCCGCCACGGAGCAGCTCTCGTTCTCGGGGTCAGGGCTCTGGGGAGGGCGACGGTGGGGGGGAGAGGGAAGTCAGGCGGGGAATGCAGGTCAGGGGGAAGTCAGAGAGCGTTAGTTGGCGAGCTGGGCGCGCATCAAACAGACAAGGGTGAAATGAGTTATTTGGCGTGACAGTGCAAGTATGCAACATGGCAAGCAAGATTCAAGAACACAGGAGCGGAAGGCAAGAGTCTATTTTTTAGGCGCCTCAAGAATAGATTCCTCACGCATGCAAGGCACGAAAGACGTGTGACGATGAACTCACCGGAGCGTTGGTGCAGGGCGATGCAGCGGTGAGATTGGGGATGGGGGAGATGGGGGAGGCGGGGGAGAGGGGGGAGAGGGGGGAGGCGGAGGCGGCGCCGGGGGAGATGGGGGAGGGGAGGCCGTCGGGGGAGAGCGAGAGCAGCAAATGCTGCAGCTGGCTGTGCACCTCCGCCATCCGCGGGCGGTCCTCGGGCTCGTGCTGCAGGCAGTGCGCGGCGACGAGCGCGAAGAGGTGGAGCGACTTGGGGTCCAGCGTCGAGTTAAGGCGCAGGTACGGGTCCACCAGGCTCGTCACGGCGAGCCTGTTCTCCAGGTGCGGCAGCACCCACGTCAGCAGCGACTGCTGCCCCTTGGGGCGCGTGGAGTCCACGGGCTTGCGCCCCGTGAGCAGCTCGAGTAGCACCACGCCGAAGCTGAACACGTCGGACCGCGCCGTCTGCTCGCCGCTGACGCGGAATTCCGGGGCCTGGTAGCCCATGGAGCCCAGGACGGAGGGCGACACGGCGCGGCCCTCGGACCAATCGCGGACGAGCGTGTGGATGCCGACGTCTTTAATCTTGGCGCGCAGCTCGCCGTCCAGGACCACGTTGTCGGCCGACACGTCGCGGTGAATCATGCGCGGCTCGCACTGTTCATGCAGGAACTCCAGCGCCGCCGCCACGTCCACCGCGATCTGCACGCGCTTCTGCCACGTCAGCGCGCGCTCGAACCGCAGGTCCCCGTGCAGGTGGTCCTTCAGGCTGCCACCCGGCAGGTACTCATACGCCACCCACCGCTGGCCCTTATCCGCGCTATAAGCCATGATCGCCACCAGGCGGTCCGACTGCACGCAGAGGTCCCCCAGCGCCTTAACCGCCGCCGCGAACTCCGCCTCGTCGAGCTTCTCCCCCGAGAGCTCGAGCAACACCGCCATCTGCACGCGTTCCTTGCTGGAGAAGTCCGCCTTGTACATGCGCCCGTGCCCGCGGTCGCCGATTAAGTTCGCCTTCGAGTACCCCTGCGTCGCCGCGTGGATCGCCTTAAGACCGATCTTCTTAATCTCCATTACCTCCTGCCCGTTACCTCCGCTCTCCCCGTCTTCTACGGTTCGAGTTGTTCCAATTTCCGGCGTGCGCGGGTCGTCTCCGTTATCGCCGCCGCATAACCCGGCGGTGTTTGCGGGGGAAGCCGGCGAGCCCATGCCTTGGAACGCGAAGCTTCGCTCTGACACCCCCGGCGTGTCGCGCGGCGTGCCCGCGCCGCTCTCGCCGCCGACACTCGCGCGCGCGCCGGCGGGAGTGCCGGGGATGCCGCTGCGGAAGGAGAGCGCGGGCTCGTTGAACGAGTTGCCGCCGGAGATCGAGGGCTTCACGGGCGGGAAGGGGTTGCCACGTGGCAGATCCCACCTTCCCCAGATGGCTGGCGGAAGCGAAGGGGGGGAGGTAATTGGGGGAGATGAGGTAATTAGAGTGAGAAGGAGAACGAGAGGTGCGCTTCGTTCTGGCCGGTGCTGTGCAGAGAGCGAGAAAGACGGCGACGCGACAGCAGCTCAGGAGCTCTGCGTTCTGACCCGCTGCCCTGTTATACTCACAGTCCGCTTGCTACTCACTATGCACTCCATTCGCTGTACTCACATTTCTTCCCGTGTGGCCTGTACGGCGCCTCGATGCTGCCCGTCAGCACCTTCGCCATCCGCGAGTTCTCCACGTCAGCTCGGCGCGCTGCGTTCCTGTCGCGGCGCCACGTCAGCAGCTGGCAGAAAAGCGCCGCCAGAACCAGCGCGGCCGCGAGCGACGCGACGACGATGCCGATTATGGCTCCGGTGCTGAGCCCGGACTTCGAGGCTGACGAAGAGGAGGCCGACTCGGCGTCGGTACCCTCCGTCTCTCGCGACGGCTTGAAAGCGAGGCCGGGCGCTCCTGAAAGCACGAAGAACATGGAACGGTGACGACTCGGAGCATGATGGAACGACTGCATGGAGCTGGGGGAAGCCTCCGGCAGCACGGAAGACACTTGGGGAAAAGCAGGAAGACACTTGGGGAAAAGCAGGAAGACACTTGGGGAAAAGCAGGAAGACACTTGGGGAAAAGGGGGAGGCAAATGGAGAGCACGTGACCGTACCGAGCACTTCGTAGTTGCTGAACGCCTTCGATAGAATCACGCGGTGCCCAGTCACAGCCTCCACCAGCTTCGCCTCCTGCCCCGCCTCCAGCGCCGAGCCGTTCACCGGCAGCACGGCGAGATACAGAATTACGCTGCCCGGTTCGCGCCCAATCACCAGCAGCTGACGTGGCTCCATCTGCAGCGCGCGGGAGAGCTCCCCGAGCAGCACGTCCTCCTGGTTCGCGTTATAAGCCGCAAAGTCCAGGTCCTTAAATCGGATCTTGAGCAGCGAAGGCTTGACGCACGTGCATCCGTCCTGGAGGCTCGGTAAAAGGTTGTCCGCGCAAGGCGGGCAGTCGGGAAGCGGCGCGCTGATCAGCGGAGGGGCGCTTCCCGCCGCTTCCGCGGCGTCTTCCACCGGCGCGGGAGTTGCGGGTAGTGGCGCAGCCGACGCGCCAGCGCACAGCACGCCGGGAGTCGCGCTGCAGAAACGATTTCCCGGACCCAGCTTGAGGTAAGTGACGGCTTTAAGAGCGGCGGGAATAGCGCCGGAGAGATTATTCCCGTAGAGATATAGGTGCGTGCAGGTGACCATGCCTCCTAGTGCGGGAGGCAACTCGCCGGTGAAATTATTATTCTGTAGCTCGACCTCTTGTACCGCGTACAGCTTGCCGAGCTCGGGCGGGATCTGGCCGGCGATCTGGTTGTCGCACAGTCGCAGCTGCAGCAGCCCCGTGAGGTTGCCGATGAACGGCGACAGCGCGCCTGCGACGCCCATGCCGCACAGATCGCTGTTCGTCGCATGGAGGAGGAGGGCAGGAAGGGATTGGGGGGGGGGAGGAGAGAAGCAGGAGTGCAAGATGAGACGGCGACTGATGTAAGTGAGACATGCAGCATCTCTCGTTTCTGATGAAGCATGCGCGACTGATGCGAATGCGGGCTTACAGTCTCGTAATGACGCCGGGCCGAGCGCAAGTGACGCCGACCCACGTGCCGTCGCAGGGGTCGTTGGTGGTCCACGTGGCGAGCGCCGCGGGCTTGCTGCCCTCGAAGCCCAGCTTCAGCTCGCGCATCGCCTCCAGTTGCCCTGCACATGCGGGCAGGCCGGAAAAAGTAGGAGGTGGGAAGCAGAGGCGAAAGGAGGACTTTAGTGTCTACGCGTCAATTCGGGCGGCGAATCATTCAAATTATCTTTTGAAAACCATGCGTGTTGATGGTCATTCGTTCTGGCTGGAAGGGAGACTGCCAGGGCCGCTAATGCGCAAAAGGTAGGCCAAGCTGTACCTAGGGACGAGGGGTCTGAGGGATCGATAAAGAGTGCTGACGCGGTAAGCGCGAATGCAAGGCCGAGCAACGCCCGGATCGTGAACCTCCGAGCCATGTCGCTGAGTCGTCGCGGCATGGCGGTTCTTCTGCTGCCAACAGTTGACGAGGAGAAGCGTCAACGGATTTTCCAACAAAGCTAGAGCGAGATCCTAAGAGCGCAGAGTTGTTATAGTCTGAGTTTAGTTTGCGAGAGAGGTAAGAGATAAGCCTGGAAGGTGGAAGAGTTATGCCAGAGGATGCACCGAGGTGGTGCTGGAAGCGAATGGGCTGAACCAGCAGAACTAATTCGTCCACGCGGTTTTCATGCTATTTGTTTTGCGAAAGAACAGCTCGGATCGGCTTTCGTACGATCGGCTCTACCTGGTTGAATAAGTGACAGAACGGTATTGCGGCCGATTTGATTGTTTTGGCGCAAGCATTTGGTTGCGACCCTAGGGGCCAAATCGCAAGAAATGTACACATCACAGAGAGGGCGAGGCGAGATGCACCTGAGCAGAAGGGCCGAGGTGAGCACCAGGGGGACGAGGACTCACGACGAGTCACGAGTCACGGCTCAGACAAACAGCAAGGGACGAAGCAGTTGGCTTGGCGCCAGCACACATCCGCGTTTCGGTGTCGCCCCGCTCGAGAGTCGCATTTGGCCGTCGCAGGAAGCATTGCGGAATGCGGTGCGGTGGCGGAAGGGAGGGCAAGATTTGAAAAATGTCGCAGAGGGCTGACCGCGCCCTTTTTCAAACTCAGGTTCAAAAAGTTCCCGCCCTGAGGGGATCTGTCGCAGGGATGCGGTGCAGCAGGCAACTCCAGGGCTCTTCTCGAATACTTTCCAGTACGGGAATATGCGATAACACATATGCTCAACAATATCGAAAACCTTGAAAAGTTTTGTTAATTCCAAGACACAAAAATGCATCCTATGCCCCACAACCCCTACAAGAAAAAAGGACAAGAGCAAGATTTGTCAACTACTGAAATTAGGAGTCAATTAGGCAAACACATATCCCAGCCAACCCCATTGATTCCATATCACATCAACGGGAATACTGCTCCGATGAAGCTACTCTACTCTACCCCATCCCACTTGGTGTTAGTCTGCAATGGCCCTGGAGCAATTATGAACCGTGGACACGGCTGAAGAGGGAGGATGGGAGGACGAGTGCAAGGGGGGGGGGGGGGGGGGGGGGGGCGGCAATTTCCACTTGTGAAGCAAGGGCCAAACAACAACAGGAGAAATATGAATGAGGTTCAAAAGATCTCTAGAAGAGAGAGTGAAAGCCCCAGGCTAGAATAGCAAAGAAGGGCCCAACTTGAACCTTGGCCTTCTAGAATTCGTCCAAGTATAGGATGACTGAGTAGAATTACTGTTGTGAATTTCGGATGGAGAGGAGTCTGAAATGTGTTGCTCGATCATGATTGGCTGACGCAACAATCAGCTTAGCGAATGTACAGTGCGACACTTCTGACTCGCGTGTCAGAAGGGATCGCATGTGGGACATTTTTCCCTGGAACCCAACTCCATTTTCCAGTTGGGACCAGGTTTGCTTCTGGGGTTTCACAGGGGGGTTTAGAAACAGTGCAACACCTCGCGAGCTGTACGACGAGCAAGATCGTCGAAACACTTGCAAGTGACAGTGGTTCCGCTACGAACCACAAACTGTTTCCAAATCTATTTCAAACATAGCCCGGTGCCCAAAAAAAAAAAAAATCCAACTCGTTTTCACACCAAGCCCCCTTTCTTGTTCAAGCTGGGCCCAACTTGAATAGGGTTTGCTATTTCAATCAAGGGCTTTAAAATGGCCACCCTCTCAAACCATGTAATTCATATCAAAAGTTTAGACATACCTTCAATACCAGGGGACCCTCTCTCTGCCTCGCGCTCTCCCTCGCCCCCTGCCCCTGCCTCTGCCCCTGGCCCTCCCCCTTCCCCTTCCCCTGCCATGCAAAGGGGGGCGGCCCCTGGGCCTTGGCAGTGCTGGGTCCTGCAGGCAGAGGGAATGGGGTGAGGAACGGTTGGAAGTGGTGGGTGGGAGCGGGGATGGCAAGGAAAGGGGGATGACTTGAGATCAAAAGGCGAGCATGTGAGACGAGAATGTGAGACGAGAATGTGAGACGAGCATGTGAGACGAGCATGTGAGACGAGCATGTGAGACGAGAATGTGAGACGAGAATGTGAGACGAGAATATGAGACGAGAATGTGAGACGAGCATGTGAGACGAGCATGTGAGACGAGCATGTGAGACGAGAATGTGAGACGAGCATGTGAGACGGGCATGTGAGACGAGCATGTGAGACGGGCATGTGAGACGAGCATATGAGACGAGCATGTGAGACGAGAATGAGGGACGAGAATATGAGACGAGAATGTGAGACGAGAATGTGAGACGAGTATGTGAGACGAGCATGTGAGACGAGCATGTGAGACGAGCATGTGAGACGAGAATGTGAGACGAGCATGTGAGACGGCCATGTGAGACGAGCATGTGAGACGAGCATGTGAGACGAGCATGTGACACGAGCATGTGACACGAGCATGTGAGACGAGCATGTGAGACGAGCATGTGAGACGAGAATGTGAGACGAGCATGCGAGACGAGAATGTGAGACGGGCATGCGAGACGGGCATGTGAGACGAGCATGTGAGACGGGCATGTGAGACGAGCATGTGAGACGAGAATGTGAGACGAGCATGTGAGACGGGCATGTGAGACGAGCATGTGAGACGGGCATGTGAGACGAGCATATGAGACGAGCATGTGAGACGAGAATGAGGGACGAGAATGTGGGACGAGCATGTGAGACGAGCATGTGAGACAAGAATGTGAGACGAGCATGTGAGACGGGCATGTGAGACGAGCATGTGAGACGAGCATGTGAGACGAGCATGCGAGACGAGCATGCGACACGAGCATGTGACACGAGCATGTGAGACGAGAATGTGAGACGAGCATGCGAGACGAGAATGTGAGACGAGAATGTGAGACGAGCATGTGAGACGAGCATGTGAGACAAGAATGTGAAACGAGCATGTGAGACGGGCATGTGAGACGAGCATGTGAGACGAGCATGTGAGACGAGCATGTGACACGAGCATGTGAGACGAGCATGTGAGACGAGCATGTGAGACGAGAATGTGAGACGAGCATGCGAGACGAGAATGTGAGACGAGAATGTGAGACGAGCATGTGAGACAGGCATGTGAGACGAGAATGTGAGACGAGCATGTGAGACGGGCATGCGAGACAGGCATGTGAGACGAGCATGTGAGACGGGCATGTGAGACGAGCATGTGAGACGAGAATGTGAGACGAGCATGTGAGATGGGCGGAGACGGGCATGTGAGACGAGCATGTGAGACGGGCATGTGAGACGAGCATGTGAGACGAGCATGTGAGATGAGAATGTGAGACGAGAATGTGAGACGAGCATGTGAGACGGGCATTTGAGACGAGCATGTGAGACGAGCATGTGAGACGAGAATGTGAGACGAGCATGTGAGACGGGCATGTGAGACGAGCATATGAGACGAGCATGTGAGACGAGAATGAGGGACGAGAATATGAGACGAGAATGTGAGACGGGAATGTGAGGCGAGTATGTGAGACGAGCATGTGAGACGAGCATGTGAGACGAGCATGTGAGACGAGAATGTGAGACGAGCATGTGAGACGAGCATGTGAGACGAGCATGTGACACGAGCATGTGACAGGAGCATGTGACACGAGCATGTGAGACGAGCATGTGAGACGAGAATGTGAGACGAGCATGCGAGACGAGAATGTGAGACGAGAATGTGAGACGAGCATGTGAGACAGGCATGTGAGACGAGAATGTGAGACGAGCATGTGAGACGGGCATGCGAGACGGGCATGTGAGACGAGCATGTGAGACGGGCATGTGAGACGAGCATGTGAGACGAGAATGTGAGACGAGCATGTGAGACGGGCATGTGAGACGAGCATGTGAGACGGGCATGTGAGACGAGCATATGAGACGAGCATGTGAGACGAGAATGAGGGACGAGAATGTGGGACGAGCATGTGAGACGAGCATGTGAGACAAGAATGTGAGACGAGCATGTGAGACGGGCATGTGAGACGAGCATGTGAGACGAGCATGTGAGACGAGCATGCGAGACGAGCATGCGACACGAGCATGTGAGACGAGCATGTGAGACGAGAATGTGAGACGAGCATGCGAGACGAGAATGTGAGACGAGAATGTGAGACGAGCATGTGAGACGAGCATGTGAGACAAGAATGTGAAACGAGCATGTGAGACGGGCATGTGAGACGAGCATGTGAGACGAGCATGTGAGACGAGCATGTGAGACGAGCATGTGAGACGAGCATGTGAGACGAGCATGTGAGACGAGAATGTGAGACGAGCATGCGAGACGAGAATGTGAGACGAGAATGTGAGACGAGCATGTGAGACAGGCATGTGAGACGAGAATGTGAGACGAGCATGTGAGACGGGCATGCGAGACAGGCATGTGAGACGAGCATGTGAGACGGGCATGTGAGACGAGCATGTGAGACGAGAATGTGAGACGAGCATGTGAGATGGGCGGAGACGGGCATGTGAGACGAGCATGTGAGACGGGCATGTGAGACGAGCATGTGAGACGAGCATGTGAGATGAGAATGTGAGACGAGAATGTGAGACGAGCATGTGAGACGGGCATTTGAGACGAGCATGTGAGACGAGCATGTGAGACGAGAATGTGAGACGAGCATGTGAGACGGGCATGTGAGACGAGCATGTGAGACGGGCATGTGAGACGAGCATTTGAGACGGGCATGTGAGACGAGCATGTGAGACGGGCATGTGAGACGGGCATGTGAGACGGGCATGTGAGACGAGCATGTGAGACGAGAATGTGAGACGAGCTTGTGAGATGGGCATGTGAGACGGGCATGTGAGACGAGCATGTGAGATGGGCATGTGAGACGAGCATGTGAGACGAGCATGTGAGACGAGCATGTGAGACGAGCGGCCAACCTGAAGCACAGCAGGAGGAACGGCAGACGGAGGGGGAGAGGAATGGGAGGCAAAGAAAAAGTGGGCAAATCGCCGTGTCACTCAAAAGGGCAAGTGCAGGCGGTTATACCAGATCACCCACTCACCCTCACAAGCACCATGGGAGCAGGAGGCACCTCCTCCACCTCCACCTCCTCCTCCTCCTCCTCCTCCACCGCCACCCCCTCCCCCACGGCCTGCGCCCTCACCATCACCCACTCCCGCTCCCGCACATCAAAGAGCATCGACGGCCGCAGCTGCTGCCACGTCAGCTGCTTCTGCGCCATCTCACCATAGCCTGAAGGGAGGGGGGGGGGGGATGAGGGAGGAGGGGGGGGGAGGGGGAGTGGGTGAAGGGAGGGGGGGGAGAACCAGCACAAGTGGAGTGAGTAGCTGTGCGGCAGGGTGCATTAAGGCCACATCTTTGGCCCTCTTCCGCATTGCAACTCAGCTTCGAGAATCTGAAGCGCCTAAAGGCAGGGTGGAATGCGGCTGTGATCCAGTGAACGGGAGAGGCAAGCATTGGGGGGGGGGGGGGGCGGGGGGGGGAAGCACTAACCTGGGAATTCGACCGTAGCCATGTTGGCTGCGGCATCGTCTGACAGTGCTGTGATGACACCCTCCCACCACCTGAGACACGCGCAGCACGGGAAGCAGGGGGGCAGAGGTGAGAGAGAGCAAAATAACAGCAACACAGCACTGCCAGATGATGCCCGACGGCAAAACCAGGGCCGTGCATACAAGGAATGAGTAGAGAGCGCAACGGAAAGGGCAGAAGACAATATCCACTCACCCGTCATCCACCCAGGCATCCACGTGGTCCCCCACACTCCACCCCACCACACTCCCCCTGCGCCTCTTCCCCCCGCCCCTGCCCCTTCCCCTGCGCCCCACTGCCCCCGCCCCCGCATAGGGGGGCCTGGCAGGGCGCAGGCAGCGCTGGGGCTCTCCACCCGGGGGGAGGTGGGGGGGAGGGGGAGGGGGAACGCCGGACACGAGGTGGGGGGGATGGGGGGAGGTGGAGGAGGAGGGGGCGGGAGGAGGGGGCGCAATGGAGACCCACTCCTCGAGATGGTAGGTGCCTGGCAGGCATGAGTAGGGAGGGGGGGGGAAGGAAGGAGGAAGATGGAAGAAAGGAGAAGGCAGGTGAAGATGGAAGAAAGGAGAAGGCAGGTGAAGATGGAAGAAGGACAAGGGTTGGACAAAAGTGCGGGTCCAGCACCACCAGCACCCTTCACCAGCACCACCAGCATCCTTCACCAGCACCACCAGCACCACCAGCAGCACCACCAGCACCACCAGCACCCTTCACCAGCACCACCAGCACGACCAGCAGCACCAGCAGCACCAGCACCACCAGCACGACCAGCAGCACCAGCAGAAACGGCACAAGAAGCATGCATAAGAGCGGCTCACCCGCGTCGTCCAGCAGCTGGTCGTAGCGCACTAGCGCCCGGCGTGCCTCCATCTGCAGCACCGTGCCCGTGAACCAGCTGCCCCTCAACCCCTCCTCGTTGGACGCCACCTGCACGGGGCAAGGCAACGACGGTGTGCACACGCGCGCATGGCAGGGGGGGGCAGAGTGAGTGCATGCAGCACAGTGCCCGTGAACCAGCTGCCCCTCAACCCCTCCTCGTTGGACGCCACCTGGCATGACACGAGAAGACAAGCGCAGCGAGAGAGAGGGGGACAGGGAGCACGGGGATGGTGGAGAGGGAGAGATGGGTTAAGAGAATTCTCGAAAACCAACTCTGGGAGAGCATGCGGCACAGAGCCCGTCAACCAGGTGCCCCTCAAAGCGTCCTCGTAAGGGAAACCTGATGTGCATGCAGAGGGCCAGGACGCATGCAGAGGGCGGGCACAATGACGGTAGGTGAGTGCGCAGAGGGAGAGAGCCAAAGGAGACAGCCACAGAGTCACTTCAGCTCGGATTCCTGGATGGCAGCAGCCCGCGCCCCTGCTGCTGTTCACCTCTACAACTGTGCTGCACGCTGCTGGCCTCAAACTCCCAAACCTCCCACGTCAGCGTAACCCAACTCGCCCCTCCTCCTGCTCACCTCCACTGGCTTTCTGCCCAACTCTGCTGCTCACCTCCACTGGCTTTTCGCCCAACTCTGCTGCTCACCTCTACCGGCGTGCCCACGTGGAAGCGGTGCGGCAGCTTCAACCCCCACACCCGCCTCTCCTCCACCTCCTCCGCATCCTCCTCCTCCTCCTCCTCCTCCTCCGCCTCCTCCACCACCACCACGTCTTCGTCCTCCTCCCCCTCTCCAACCTCCTCTCCCCGCCCCTCCAGGAACCCCACCGCCCTCCTCATTGTGCTCTCCAGCCCCTCGCTCCCCCTCCCCCTCCCCCGCTTCCCCAGCACACTCGCTCCCCCCTCCCCATACCCCCCCACTTCCTCCCTAACCCCATACTCCTCCAAATCGACCCCCTCGTCTTCCTCCTCTTGCTCTTCCTCTTCCTCCTCGTCGTCATCCATCTCATACCGGCTATAGTAGTAGCTCCTCCCACGACCCCTGCCCCTGCCCCTACCCCTGCCCCTCCCCCGTCCCCTTCCCCTTCCCCTCCCCCGACCCCTGCCCCTCCCCCTGCCCCTCGCCACGCTAGCCATAGACGTGAGGGGGAGGGGGGGCTCAGGAGCCCAGGGGGAGTGAGCAAACGGCTCTGGCTGGCCAGTAGCATCCTGCCACATGGCATCCGCTCCACGCACCCCATACCCCCCATGCCCTCCATGCACCTCGTGCCCCCCATACCCCCCATTTGCCCCCGCCCCCCCCTGCTTCTCCCCCCACGCCGCCGCCACCGCCCTCTCCTTAAACGCCGTCACCGCCTCTGCCGCCGCCCGCACCGCCGCTGACGCCGCCCGTGCCACCACGGCCGCCGTCATCACCTGGGCGGCAGCCACCCCCGCGTGGTCCCTCCTGTTGACCAGCTCCTCCAGCTCCCCCGGCCATACTTCCGCCCACGCCACCACCGGGCGCTTGCTCATCGACGACCCTCCCCCTCCCCCTCCTCCTCCTCTCTCTTCCCCGTCGCCAGCCATCTCCTCCCCATCCGACCCATACGCAGGGACGATCTCCACTCCTACTAGGTGCCAGCTGCGCCCCCTGCCCCTCCCGCGCCCGCGCCCCCTGCCCCTCCCCCTGCCACGCCCCCTGCCCCGGATGGCTATCCCCGGTGCGTCCCAGCCCTCGTCGTCGAACACCCCCATCCCCCCATGGCCATGCAGCGCCAAGGGGCCCATGCCCATGCCCATGCCATAGCCTTCCATGGGCATGGGCATGCCGTCCATGCCCATGTGCATGGGGTACTCGCCACCACCCATGGCGCCATACGCGCTGGGCACCATCATACCGCCATCCGCACCCATGCCCCCTCCCATCTCCCCCATCCCATACCCCTCCCCGCCTCCAGCCCCCCCATAACCCCCATACCCCCCATACCCGCCGTACTCCCTGCCCCCGCCATACCCATACGCGGGCATGCTGCCGCGTCTGCCCCTGCGCCCCCTGCCTCTCCCCCGGCCTCTGCCCCTGCCTCTCACGCCGTCCGGGGACACATAGCTGCCGCCGCCCGCTGCCGCCCCGCCGCCGTCCATGAGGAGGGCGGCAGGGGCGGCCTCTCTGCGCCTGCGCCAGGCGTCGGCCACCTCAATCCAGCGCTGGTGGTCGGGCGAGCCAAGCTGCGACGGCACGGTGGCAAACACCAGGTCTCGAAGCTCCTCCTCCAGCGGCTCCTTGCGACTGTTAGAGAGGTGGGGTGCAAGAGTAGGGAGGGAACGCAGGTGATGACACGAGGCGGTGAAAGCACGGGATGAGATAGCACGGTGGCACACACCAGGTCTCGAAGCCCCTCCTCCAGCGGCTCCTTGCGACTGCCACAATGGTGGGGGAAGAAGAGCAGGGAGAGAAAGCAGGCGGTGAGCGCACGGGACGAGATATTGGTCCGGCGTGGTCTTGCGAGCATTGCTAGGATGGCCCTGTGGCAAACACCAGGTCCCACAGCTCCGCCTCCAAGGGCTCCTTGCGGCATGGGCGGCATGGGCGGCATGGGCAGCATGGGCAGCATGGCAGGTTGTTCACAACTTTACGACCACATCTCCCAGCACGCACCACACTGAATCGCATGTCTCTCCACTCACAAGATGCGGCCGTAGAAGAGGATGTGCGCCTCGATCTGGTCCAGCAGCATGGGCAGGACGGCCAGGTTGCCCACGGCAGGCGACGGCACCGGCTGCGGCAGCTGCGACTGCAGCACTACCCGCTCCGCTGCCTCTATGTGCGCCGCCACTGCCGCTGCCGCTGCTGCTGCGTCTGCTGCTGCTTCCTCTTCCCCCTCACCCCCTGCTGCTTCTGCCCCCTCCGCACCCGCCGCTGCTGCTCCCACCTCCCCGCCTGCTAGCTCCAGCTGTCCTGCAACCGGCACCAATGCGCCCCCCCCTGCCCCTTCCGCTTGCATGGGAGAAGGAACAACCTCGCCCGCTCCCCCTCCCCCTGCCTCGTGCACGTGCGACGGCCCAGCCGCTGCTGCCTCCTCCCCTTGCTGCCCGTGTGGCACTGTCTCCATCCCCTGGGCATACACCACACCCCCCTCCCCCTCTGCAGATGCTCCGTGTGCTACTTCTGATGCTGTCGCCATGCCCCCCTCACCCTCACCCATTCCCTCTGCACTCATACCCCGCTCACTCGCTCCTGTAGCCATCTCCCCTTCGCCAACTGCAGTAGTGGTAACCACCTCGCCTTCGCCCACTTCAATCGCCGTGACAGCCTGCCCCTCGAGTGCACCGTCTGCTGCCACTGTCTCGACTCCGCCGGCGCCGCCCACAGCCGCCTCCTGCTCTGCTACAGCAGCCTCATGCCCCGCTACAGCCCCTTCCTGCCACGGCTCACCTGCCTCCTGCTCGGGTAAAGCCGGCTCCTGACCCGCTGCAGCAGGCTCATTTGAGGCAGGCGCCATCTGAGCATGCTCTGCCGCCCCTGCTTGCTCTGCGCGCTGCACGCGCTCGTACTGCACTGACGAGTCGATATAAGCAGCTTCGTGGTGCACAGGTTCCTCGATATAAGCACTCTCCTGTTGAGTCACCTCCGCTGCTTCAGCCATGTCCACGTCAGCTCTCGGCTGCTCCCCCTCTGCCAAGCCTCCTTCCCCATAAGCCGCAACACCAGCTATTTCCTGCTGCACTATATGAGTCCCCCCATCTCCACCCATCTCTTGGTACTCAGGAACGGCCTCCCGAGCCTGCTCCTCCATCCCGACCTGCGCACTCTCAGGCTCGGCAACACCCAAGCCAGAACCAGCCTCGGTTCCTGGTCCGGTCCCAGGTTCGGCCGCTGGTTCGGCTTCAACTGCCGTCGCCTCGGTTATCATGACCGCAGCTGAACCGCCCCCAGACCCACCGGCGTCCATGTTCAGATCAAACCCCTCGCCTTGAGCCACAGGCGCTTCAGCCACCTCTCCTTCAGTCACCACTTCTTGAGTCACACTTTCATAAGCCACCGTTTCTTCCATCCCTGCTTCTTTAGTCACAACGGCTGCAGTCACACTCTCGGCAGTCACATACGCCTGATTCCCGTCAGGCGCTTCAATCCCCATGCCTGCATCAGCATCCGTCCGAAGCGCCAGGGAACCATCCGTCTGGTTAGTAGCTTCATAATTTTCTTCCCCCATCTGGTCGATCTGCGGCGCCAGCGCGAGCTCCGTCTCGTGGCGCGCCGCCTCGAGCATGTCGTCCAGAAGGTTCTCCGCGTCTTCCATGCCGTCCCGCGCCGCCTCCACTGCTACAGCCTCGGTTTCGGGGAGCGCGCCTGGCGGGAAATGCTGGTTCGGGTCTTCCATGATCGATGATTAAAACCGAGGATACCGGAAACTTTCGACAGTACCACTGGTAGACTCGATACGAGCTGCGCACGGCACGCAAAAGCGCAATGGAAAATTGCTGCGTTTTTAGTATACAGTACGTAATGATGTCAGGCGGGCCGGTATAACGGGAGGCCAACTGGGGCTGGGAAAAGAGACTCGCGAATAGCGAATAATGGGAGAACAACCGTTCGATTGAAAAGTAGGGCGTGCAGAGAAAGAAGAATTGCACCGTAGTCGTGCATGTCAGAAAACGAAGCGAGACGAGCCCCGCGCTCTCAGTCGCGTACGACCTACTACTCACGGCTTACGACACTGACGTCAAATACGTAGTCATGCATCACAAGACGTGCTTCTCACCTGTGGAGCAGTCAACGTAGCAAAGCTCGAAAAAAGGGGTGACGATCACACCCGTCTAAAGCTCTGAAAGATGGTCAGCGTTGTCCCTCAGTCGCACCTAATACTGCAGCCGAGCCCGCGGTGTGACGAACGAAAGACTACATTAACTCGCTTACATGAAACCCTAGCCTGCTAACTGGACCTTGTGCACAGAGGAGCTATATTTGTCCTCACAATAGGAGCCAGCAACGCGAGTGGCGGCAATGCGGGCTCGAGTCGGGGGGGCCGAAACAATTGAAAGGGCTGCCTGCCTGAAAGCAGAGAGGAACGAAATCGAAACTCGAGGGTCTATGCTGACAGGGGTCTACTGATTGGCCGCTCCTGAAAACTGCGACCAGTCGGCCTCCACCCGCGTTCTGCTGCGTCATGCGCCCAAACCTGATTCAAAGTGCGACACTTACGTAACTAATCGCAATTTGAAACAGGCTCTTCCCCATGAACGAACTGGAAGCTTTCAATGTCTGAATTTTCAAACGTAGAAACTGACTTGTGAATAACTGATACGCTTCTGTGTTACCTTCCCCACAGGGCTGTTTGAGTCCGACTGTTACATTACAAGCCCAGGTACGAACAATTTTACTTCCAATGAAGGTGCGAATTGCAAAAAATGCCAATTAAATATTATGCATGGTTTTCATGAAATACATATGGAAGCTGTTCTAGAATTAATAAGTTGTACAAATCACTCTTCGGAGACTCCCTTACCTGAAGGAGTCGGACCAGTCTTTCCCCTAGTGTCTACGGTGTGCGCAAAATGCACTATCTTGCCATCACTCATCACCCCCCATGGCATTTGCAGTGCCCTCCAAGAAAGAGGGCCCCCCCTTGCTGCCAGTCCTTGCAAGGCTATTGCTGCCAGAGCCCAGCGTGGGCGGGGTGTGGGTGCCGCCCAGGCCACTGTTCTTGAGCTCCCTGGCTGTGATCACATACGCCACGTCAGGGTTGCTGCCCCGTGATAGCATGATCTCCAGAAGCAGTGTGCCGCCCAGAATCCGCCGTCCAATGGCAGGCATCCTCAGGCCGTCGCACACAAACACCTCCAGCCCTGCAGTGTGGTGTAAGAGTGAGCGATTCAAAAGGTATGCATTGAGGACATGGGGTTGCGGAAGAGACGGAGGCAGCACACATTGGATGGGCTTGGGAGATGGAGGAGTTTAGGGGAAGAACAAGTGGCTGTGTAAGGGCCCAAATGCAAGGGGGGTTGGATGAGCTTGGGAGATGGTGAAAGGGGAAGAGCAAGGCGTCATGGATGTGTGCCCTAAGGCAGGCGTTGTGTGGGGGGGATGGGACGGGGGATGGGATGGGATGGGATGGGATGGGCTGTGATCTCACCTTGGTCGGCGAAGTCATCTCGGCCGTCCACGCTGATGAACAGATCCGCCACGTGCAGATTCTCCGGCAGCATCTCCGCCCCCCCAAACGCCCGCCCACTGCCATCCCCCAGCCCCTCGATATCCGTGAACCCAAACAGCAGCCTGGCAGCCCGGTTCAGCGAGCTGATCCCGCCCATGTCATCCACGCCCAGGATCGCATCCCCCGTGCCCTTGAGCATGGCGCGCAGCCGCTCCTGCTCCTCGCGCTCCCTGCGCCGCTCCTGCAGCGCGGCCACGATCTGCGCCACGGTCTTGGTCATTGGCTGGATCTCCATCAGCAGCGTCTCCTCGTACCCCTCCTTGCGGTTCGCCACCGCAAACATGCCCACCAGCTCCGCGCCCGCGAAGAGCGGCACCCCGAGGAAGGTGGAGACGCGCTGGTGGCCGGGGGGAACCCCGACGGCGCGCGGGTCGTTGGGCACGTCGTTGCTGATGACGACGTCGGCCGTGGTGACCACGCGGCCGAATAGGGTTTCCATGTTGGAGAACACCAGGCCTGAGGGCGCGTTCTCCGCGTACCACAGGCGCAGCTCGCGCGTCCACGCGAAGTTGGTGATGCCGTGGGTCTGAGGGGTTGGGGGGGAGGGGAGAAGGAGAATGGGGGTCATGGGGCACACCGTTGCTCACAATGACGCGGCCGAAGAGGGTCTCCATGTTGGAGAAGAGACGCCAGGGATGACGCGCCCATGCAAAGTAGGTGATGCCGTGGGAGTGAGAGTTATGGGTCGAGGAGAGGGAGGAGGTTGTTTGTGGAGGGGGAGAAGGGAGGAGGGGGGGGATAAAGGAGGGAGTGAAGTGGGTGCGATGGTGGCTTTGAATGGGAGCAGGCGGAACGTGGGTCTGAAGAACAGTGGTGGTGATGACCTGATGTGATGAGCTGATGTGATAAGCCGATGTGATGAGCTGATGTGATGAGCCTGCATATTCTATTTGTAACTGACTGGTTTTATCAGTTATAGCTGCTGGTTGGATGTTTTAATATTGTAGCAATTACCTCCTGGCGTCCGGACAGATGTGTAAAATACATTACATCTCCCATGCATGCGTGACTCCATATTGTCACCCCACGTGCGCAAGAAAGCCATGAGCCGTTCGCGTTAGGGCAGCACCCGCCTGCTGCTGAGGTGACTTTGGAGTCGACTCAAAAGTCACCTCGAACGCCATGAGCCGTCCACGTTAGTGCAGCACCCGCCTGCTGCTGGCTACACGCAAGCAACCTCGGGTTTCCAACCTTAGACATAGCAGGAGTCCCACTGTTCTCGCTTTAAGCAGTAGGCGTCCCTCCCTTATTGTTCCCTGAAGATGGTGAGTTCACTTTCCTCCTCAACATACAACCAGCACGTGCCCCGTTGCGCTCACCTTGAGATAGTAGGTGCCTTCGGGTTTCTTGAGCGCGCTCGCCACGAATCCGAACTTGGACTTGGTCAGATCCAGCAGCTGCGCCAGCAGGTAGTCGCCCACCTTGCTGCCGTTGGGGGACTGCCCAGTGGGGGAGAAGCGGGCGGAGTGAGCCAGGTGAGTGCGCGTAGGGTGGGAGGGGGGAGGTTGTGGGGGGGAGGGGGGGGGAAGAGGAAGCTGCACCAGCAGGTAATCGCCCACCTTGCTACCGTTGGGGGACTGCCCAGTGGGGGAGAAGCGGGCGGAGTGAGCCAGGTGAGTGCGCGTAGGGTGGGAGGGGGGAGGTTGTGGGGGGGAGGGGGGGGGGAAGAGGAAGCTGCACCAGCAGGTAATCGCCCACCTTGCTACCGTTGGGGGACTGCCCAGTGGGGGAGAAGCGGGCGGAGTGAGCCAGGTGAGTGCGCGTAGGGTGGGAGGGGGGAGGTTGTGGGGGGGAGGGGGGGGTGGAAGAGGAAGCTGCACCAGCAGGTAATCGCCCACCTTGCTACCGTTGGGGGACTGCGGGAGGGAGTGGGGCTGGGTGGGGGTGGGAGTGGGGGGGGAGGATGAGTAACGCACAGGAGAAAGGAAAGGGAAGATCCAACACCCGAGTCTAGGGAAGGGAAGGGCGCGGATGGTAAGGCCGGGGAGTGGTCGGCGGGAGAGGGAGCGGGAGCACGGCAGACCAGGCGAGCATTTCCGCGATCACCAAAACCTAATATTTGTCAACGCGTTCGTTTCACCGCAAGCCGTGCCCTTTCCGCGTACCTGGTACCCCACGCCTGCCTCCCTCCCTCCGCCTTCCGCGCTCCCCCCACCCCCCCTCCCCCTTTTCCCCCTTCCCCTCAACCTGGTGATGATTGCGCGATCATGCGAGGTCTAAAAGCGCGCCCGTACCCCATGCCTGCCCCACGCGCCCATATGCGTTCCTTTCCCTCCCCTCAGCCTCCCCTGATCCCTCCCTGCCCTTGGCTCACCTGGTCATTGGGGTCAGAATCTGTGTGTAATGAGTCGATCTTTTAGTCGACTCAAAAATCGACTCATTACACTTGGGTTCGGAATCTCCGATGAGCTCCCGCCCATGCGCTGCCTAAAAGCGCACCTTTTCCCACGTGCCTGCCTCCCTCCCCCTTCCCCCGTTTCTTCCCCCCCCCTTCCCCCCCCCCAGCGCGCTCACCTGGTCTTTGGAGAAGAGGTCGTGCGCCTTGGCGATGATGGTCAGCAGCTAGCGGGCTGAGAATCTCGCCTACGCGGTTCCTACAGCCACGCCCTTACCTTGCCCACGTGCCTGTCTCCCCTCCGGCTTCCCTCGTTTCTGCTTCCTTCCCCCCCCCCCCCCCCCCGCTCACCTGGTCTTTGGAGAAGAGGTCGTGCGCCTTGGTGATGATGGTCAGCAGCTTGCGGTTCAGAATCTCCGACGGGCTCACGCCCATGCGCCCCACGCCCGACATCCCCGCGTTCGAGAACCCCGCGTTCGAAAACCCGCCCATCGAAAACCCCGCGTTCGAGAACCCGCTGCCTCCGCCTAGCCCCGCGCCAGCCGCGGCTACCATGGCGGAAGCGGAAACTCCGCCGAATCTATCCATTCCCACCCCTCCGCCATACCCGCCGCCCCCGCCGCCGCCGCCTCCGCCGATCATCGATTCCACACAACTATAGGCGGTCGGAGCCATGGCGGAAGCTTGTTGCAGGCTCCGCTGCCCGAAACCCCCCCCCAAGCCCCCCGCGTTTCCGCCCATCCCCGCGAGATGCGGGCACGCCATGGGCCCGAGCTCCGAGTTCGCGCCGTGCATGCCGTGCGCGTCCGCGTGGCAGTTGGGCCCGCATCCCGCGCCGTGGTTGCCGGCGGCGCCAAACACGTCGCGCGGCTGGATATGGCCGAGCGGGCCGCTAGAGGGCAGCTCCGCATCGTTCTCCCGCGCGCGGGGAAGGTTCAGTGACCGCCGCCGGGAGGACGTCGACGCGCTGTCGCTGGACGTCAGGCCGAACGGCGAGCCGGTCGAGCTGCCGGCCGTGCCGCCCACGCCGGCTCCGCCGCCGATGCCGATGCCCTCGCGCGACGACTGCGAGCGCGCGGTCGAGAGCGGCCCGAGCACGTCCTCGTTTGCGCCCGCGACGCGGCCGCTGGTGCTGCGCGCCTTGAGCTGCGCGAAGAGGCGCTGCGTGGCGGGCAGCGAGACGGCGGGAGGCGCGGAGGGGGAAGGCTCCCCGCAGTGCTCACACCTGGAGGGGAGGGCGCGGATGGGGGCGCGAACGGCAGAATGGCGAGGAGATAAGGGTGGGTACGGCGGAATGGCTCGCGGTGTCGTTCGAGTCGATTCGCGACGCATAGCACAGAAGGATGGGTATATTCTGCATTAGATTAGTTGATTAGGTTTCGTTTTGCAGTCCCTTTCTATTCACAAAAGCAGGCCCGACTTTGCAGTTTCTGCGGCTACTGCGGGGGCTTTACGAACGTGCATGACTCGGCGATGGGCTATCGCGAGACACAAGCGGTCCTTGGAATCAATGCGGTCGCTCGTCGCGATCACTGCTGACTCACCTGCTGGAAGCCGACTCGAGCGCGTTCACGATCTCCAGCCAATCAGACTTCACCAGCTTCACCGACACCATTTCCGCGCCGCCCGCGCCGCCCGCGCCGGTCGCGCCAGGCGGCCGGTCGTCGTCCGCGCCGTCGAGCGACGTGCGCGACGTGCTGTGCTTCAGCCCGCGCTGCTGCTGGAGCTGCTGCTGCTGGTGTGGGTGTTGGTGCGGGTGTTGCGGCGACGCGCCGTGCACCGCGTGATGCGACGACTGTTGGTGGTGAGGGGACGCCTGGTGGTGCGGCGACGGCTGGAAAGGAGAGGACTGCTCGTGGTGCGGCTGCGGCGACGTGTACCCGCGGTCCGGTAGGCTCGCGCGGCGGCCGAGCGGCGGCGGGTGGTTGGCCCATGGCGGCGCGCAGGGCTGGTCGTCGTGGTGGTGCTCCTGGCCGGGCGACCGATGGCTGTGCGACGTCGAGAACATGCGCTGCCATCGCTTCGCTAGCGTCGGCGCCATGGCGACGCTAGGTCATGCGACGGGAAGGGAGTGGGGGAGTGGAAGCAGTCGACCCGGCAGTGACAGCGCTGGGACGTGAGCTAGGGCGGTCGACTCGTCGGGCCGCACTCGCGGACGAAGGTAACAGCTTTCTTACGGAAAAAAATGCGTGGCCCAAACTTCTAATGGAGCCTCTATCACAGGAGGTGCTATGGAGGCCTGTTAGGCCAGAGAACACAAGTGACGATTGTGTTCAATGAGATCTCGACTTCCCTGCAAGGGCTACCCGTCTGCTGCTGCTCCCTTGCTTCATCAATTTCCTCAGAGTTGTCCTCCTCTCCATCCCTCCTCTCCTCTCCCTCGCTTCTTTTTCCCCCCTCTGTGCTGCTGCTCTCTCCCACGGTCTCTTTTCTCTTTTCTGCCCTCTCATCGCCAACTCGACACGGCGGGCGACGCCCAGCCACAAGGAGATTCATTCCGCTTGTCGTTTCGCCAACTTATGATGCTCGTCCATCCGCGCGACGCGAAAATGCTGCCCTAAAGGTTCCTGTCCGCGTCAGCACCACCAGATATGGTCGACGTGTGCACCTGACGACTGCAGCGACAAAATGCAACGCAAGGCCAGGAGTTGCTGTTCGGGCAGCTTGCCTACCAACCATTGGCCGTGAGATTCTGTGTGCGGTACATTATGATCGGGCTGATGAATCCAGATGCATGGAGTTTGTCCCCCTTCCACCCTTGCTAAAAACTTCAAGCCTCGTGCCAAAATGCATAACTCTCACTGAGAGCAATTTGGTGTGATTGCTTTCTGTCATTTCAATTGAAGGGCAAATCCGAATGGAGTTCTGGCATCAGATAAAAACTTTGGCAAAAGCCACTTCCGCTTGGAGCTTGACAGAGATATCTCGGACTTGCACCAATAGCATGCGCTTCAGTCCTGGCTGATCAAACCTGAATGATTACGGGCAGTAATTGGGCAGTACAGCATTCAAACAAGACTCGTCGTGGTGAATTGCTTTAATACAGTGGTCTATCTTTCAAGGGGTACAAAAGGTTTGTATAGATTGGCTTCATCAAAGTAATGCTCTAAGTTTAGCAATAGTTTACATATATACAATGTCGTGGTACATCGTCAAAACTACGATTAGTATTAGTTGAAATTGCACAAACAAGAAGTATGTGGGCTGGAAGGACGAAGTTGTTGAGCATGAGCATTAAGAAATTGAATGGATCGAGACAGAGTGATGCGGGCTTTGAGAAAGAGCACATGGCAACTACATAACGTAAGCGGTGCACCACGAAGATACGAGAGGGGGGAGGGGGGAGGGGGAGGGGGAGGGGGGGTGTCAAATATATTTGTATATGTTTAGTAGACTACATAGGGTCTTGCCATAGAGAGTACAACCCACTAGCTATATACCCCTGTATACTCGCAGTCTAGTCAACACTTCTAACTCTGAGATGGTATCATGAGTAGGTTAGGTCCCCCCCGCCCACCCGCGCTTCCGCCTTAGGTCTTACCCTGCCCCGTCGCCTAGCGCCTAGCCACCCCAAGGGCCCCACTGCCCCGTTGCCTTGCTGGCCCCGCGGCCCCACTCCCTAGCGCCTAGCCGCCCATGGCCCCGTCGCCCCCTCACCCAGCGCCTAGCCGCCCCGCTGGCCCCGCGGCCCCGTCATCTAGCACCTAGCTGCCCGTGGCCCCGTTGCCCCACCACCTAGCCTAGCCGCCCCGCTGGACCCGCTGCCCTGTCACCTAGCGCCTAGCCCCCGCGGCCCCGTCACCTAGCGCCTAGCCGCCTCGCGGCCTCGTCGCCCCGCTGCTTCGTGGCCCCGTCACCCAGCCGCGCCGCGACCCGTCGCCCCGCTGCTCCGCGGCCCCATCGCCCAGCCGCCCCGCGGCCCCGTCTCCCAGCTGCTCAGCCGTAGTGTTTCCCGGTCCCCGCCCGCTTCACCGGCCCTCCCCACCGTCCTGCGCAACGCCCCACCGTGCTGCACCGCTCAGCACCGCACTGCACCACGCCCCACCGCACAGCACTGCGCCCCACCTCACTGTATCACACTGCATCATGCCCCACCACACTGCACCGCTCTGTACCGTATGGCACCATACTGCACGGCGCCCCACCGCACTCTATTGCACTGCACCGTACATTACTCATCCCCACTCCTCCTCGTCGCTCCGTCCCGCCCTTCACGGCCTGTTCGCGGCTGCAGCGGCCTTCATGACGCACACGGTGCTGCGCTTTGACGCGGATGGTCAGCCGGTTGAGTTCGACTCATGGCTCGTCGACCTTTGCAGTCACCTCACTGGTCAGCGGCAGGACGGCCATTGTGAGAGTACGACCCCGTTACACCACTTGGCCTTTTCTTATTTCCTTCCCTTTTCATTTCTCTTCTTATCTCATCTCATTTGGTTTCCTATTCTTCCTCTTCCATTAACCTTTGGTTTATCCTGCTATTATAATTATATCACCGACCAGGCTTGGGATGTACTGGTGCGCTATATCTAGCGTAATCCTGCCGTAATCCCTTAAAGCCAATAGCCTCGCGTGGCTATACGCAGGGTGATTCTATCTTCTAGAAGGGTCTATTCCCTTACGATAAGATAAACCTGGTTACCTGATGTACTCTGGAAGTATAAAAGCGCCTTGTACTGATCGATAGTGCAACCTTTCCTCGACACATTCGATCCTGTGACACTTGGTAATCAGAGCTTTTCTCACTCGACCGCGCTCAGCTAAGCAGCAGCAGCGGGGATCCTGCCTCGAAAAACCGCCGGGGGCGACCAATTCGACGCCGATTCTGGTAAGCACCAGCTCCGCGATTTTCGAATTACCCCCTCCGTGCGTGTTTTGAACAGGATGACAACCTTCGACAACGCCGAGGTTACCCAGCAGCTCTTCGCGCGCATCGCAGCCCTTCAGGAGGAAATGCGAGCGGATCGCGAAGCGTGGCGAAACCAGTTCGAGCGAGTCACTCGACTCGCCGGAGCGCAGCACGAGACGACAACGGCGACGACGCAGCAGTCGCAGCAGTTTCTCGAGGCTCCGAAACCGCGCCCACCTGAGCCGTTCGATCCGAGCGATCGAAACTCCGACGCCCGCAGATGGATCGCCGGGATGGAGATCTACTTCGCAGCCGTCGGATGGAGCTCGCCAGTCTGGGACGGTCAACGTGTACGACTCGCGGCGACACTGATGCGAGGGCCGGCACTCGAGTGGATTGGCGGCAACAGTACTTTCATCCACGGTGAAGCCACGTGGCAGCAGTTCCGCGCCGACCTGCTGAAACGCTTCGAACCGATAAATTCGAGTTTCCTTGCCCGGGAAAAAATTCATCGACACCGGCAGTTCGGGAGTGTAGCGCAGTACACGCAGCAGATGGAGGAATTTTATAACCGCATTCCCGACCTGACCGAAGGGGAAAAAGTACAATCGTACCTCGCCGGGCTGAAGACCGAAGTCAAACGACAAGTCGCAGCGTCAAACTACGCGAGCTACAGTGACGTCGTTTCGGCAGCGGAGCGCTTCGACATGGTCAACGCCGGAACACGACGGACGCACGTCGGCAGTACGCGACAGGGCGACCGCTCGGCTCACCCCACGTTCGCCGACCCGATGGAAGTCGACAGATTCGAGGGGCGGCCACGTCCGAAAAACACCAACTACACGTGTGATTTTTGCGGGGTGCCGGGCCACCGAATCTTCGACTGCAACAAAATGAAGGTCGTACGCGCCGAGTATCGGGCACGCAACAGTAGCGGAAATCTTTCGGCCAATCAGAAGACAAAAAACGGGAGTCGCCAGTGATTGCGGATCTAGCTGGCGAAAATAAAAAGATCCGAAAGCGGCCGCGGGATTCCGGGAAAATCAACTTCGACGAAGCTGATTCGACGCGAGAAGGAGGAAATGATGGGGGAAAATCTCCACCCCACGACCAGTCTTCGCCAGGGAAAATCGCCGAGGAAAAATACGACTCCGCGAAAAAAGACTCTGCCGAGACAGGGAAACTCCTTGAAGACCCAAGAAATTATAAGAATTCGTTAAAGTTATCTTATAAAGATGCTTTAATGAAAACTTATGATGTTCGAGGGGCTAGAGCCTTGGAGAAATTTCGGGAGGGACTCCAAAAGAAGCAGACAGCTGTGGAGTTTATACCGGTACCGGACAACCTGGGGACCAAGTTAAGGAGTGTGGAAAGAAGCCGACCTTTCCACGGAGTCAACGTCCTCTCCCGACACCAGCCCACAACGACTACCCGCTCCCCAGGGAAGACGTCGGTGGAGCTGAAGCAGCTCAAGAGGAAGCTGGGGGTCTACAAGAAGCTGCACAAACCCCGAACTCCTCCTACGGATGCATCCAGTTCTTCGGCATCAGTGACGCGCACAGTCGTCAAGGAAACTCCGGGCCCTGGAGAAGAGCCGTTCTCCAAGCAGCCTCGGCCAGCTGCCAGCTCAGGAGTAGACAGCAACACAAAGGTGTGTACGGAGTATTGGGATGTACCCTATGACCCAATCAATGAAACTATCTTTGGGTACTCCGAGCAACGACTGCCCCTCGTGCTCGAGGTCATCTGCAAAGGACGACGCCTCCAAGCACTCGTGGACAGCGGAGCGTCACACACCGATGCGACAAGGCAGTGATCGACCGACTTTGGAAAGAGTACAAGCCTTCAGGATTCTCTGCAACGATGGTGGACGGCAGCAAGTTACCAGTACACGGCGAAGCAGTGCTACACCTACAAATTGGACCACTGCGCTGGAGACCTGCACTCCCCATCACCAACATCAAAGGGCTTGACTTGATCTTCGGGCGAGACTTCCTGAAAAGATTCAACCCCGAGATCAACTGGGTGAACTGCACCGCAAGCATCTACAACAATGGACGGAGAGTACAGCTACCCAACTGGGACGATACTGGAGATATCCCAGTGGAGACACTCGCACGATTCGAGAAGGATGTGAAGCGGACCGACACCGGGTTCCTGGCGATAGCAACAGAGGTGGAGAATGACGGAGAGAAAGCCTCGGAACCTCCAGAAAAAATCAAGGAATTATTGAAGGAGTTCCAAGACATTCTTCCTGACGATCTTCCGAACGAGCTACCGCCATACCGAACGCATCAACACGAGATCGTGGAGGAACCGGGTTCGAAACCGACCTTCCGAGCACCATACCGGCTCAGCCCTACGGAGCTGACTGACATGAAAAAACAGATCGAGTATCTCCTAGCCAAAGGACTCATCCGGCCATCCACCTCGCCATACGGTGCCCCAGTACTCTTCACACCGAAACCGGACGGAAGCCTGCGCATGTGCGTCGACTACCG